CATCTGGTGAGATCGACCAACGAATCTCTTCTTCATGCACTTTCATACGAAATGAAGATCCCCCTAACAACGTCTCCTCTTTCCTTTCTCGTCCCCTTGCGATCTCTTTTCCTACAATTAAGGATATTACCTTGATCCAGTCGTCTTCTTTTTGCTGATCCTGCTGTTGCATGGTCTTCTCTGTGTTTGTTTAGGCAATATTCTAAGTTTTCGCTGATCCTGCCTTCTTCAAGTCTCCTGTTTATTAGATTTCTCTCGGTCATATGCAGTCAACCTTTGGCTCGATTTCCTCTCGATATCGTGCCCGGTTCGTGCAATGTGTACCACTATTTCGGATCTTTTCGTATCCATGCTCCTGCAGAGTTTTTGATGTTTCTTAATTCGTAGGCCGATGTTTCTTCCGATTTCACCTGATTACTTCTGCTCACAGTTGCCGAATTTGATGCGATTAACTCCCGAGAAATCAAATTTCTCCGTATTCTCGCTTTGCGTCGACAGACTGTTAAAAGTGTTTTCTTCTCCTTCGTTATCACCTTGATCTTCCATTTCCTTAGTAACGCTCGCAATTAATGGCTCAGTTCAGATGAGGGCAGGCAAATCCACTTCTTATCGTCCTGATATCTGATCTGATTTTCATAAAATCCAAGTTGAATCTGCCCTTTATAACCTTTACATTTTTTTATATAATTTCTCTGGGGTATCCATTACTAAGGCAAATGTGTGTCAGTTTGTCCAACTCCTCGTCTCAGAACTCATTGTCAGTTAGTCGTAAGCCTCTGATGATTTCATCATCCATCTATCAATTTCACCATTATTATGCATTTCCTTGATTATATCCTTGATTTTCGTGGTTCGATCCTCAGTATTTGATAAGTGTTCCAGTCGCCTAGGCTGCTTTCCATTTTCTCCGTGTACTGTTTCCTGTCCATTACAGTCGTCGTTTCTTTCTTATTCGTCTGAAGAATCCGTGGGATTATTTCCAGTTCCATCCCCTGCCTTGTCTCTTCTGGATATTTATCCGGAAGGATATCACTAAGAACGTGTCCTTCATTACCTAGTGAAAAATGTAGACCTTTTTTAAAGAGATCCGTAGATTCTGAAGCAATAGGGATTGAAGTTAGGTTTACTACAACAGTTGATGCCTTCAATACAGAACCATCAAAATTTGCGCTGGTTGGCTTGGTTTTGCACTGTCTTATTATCCCATAGCTGAGCAATTTCTTGTCATTCCGCTTATTCATCAGAACCTGAACCTTCTGTGACTTCGTGTCTATCATTCTCCGGAGTTTTTGAAAATCATCCAAAGTGAGAACCCTATCTAGATCCTTTCTTAATCTAAACTTGAGTTATATGACCATAAATAGCTTACGCCTTTCAGTCTCGTAACTTTCCTCTAATTTCTGGATGGAGGCGTGATAAAGTATTTCATAAACTGTGTCCAATTGACACTTCCTCATTAGATTGCAGAAACGGGGAACGATACCATAATGCTTGCAACCATTAAAAAAGGCGAAATGGCAGGATTGATTTACAATTGTCTTCCTTCTCCGGCTCAAATAAATTCATTGTTTAGAAATCTTTCTTCAAGGAGGTCAAACAACCTCTAAACTACGAAAGATTGCCAAACAATGCACTAATTACAGCCGGACAGATAAGACAATTGTAATTAAATCATGTTATTTGGCCTTTTTAAGTTGTTGCAAGCATTATGGTATCGCTCATTAATTCTGCAATCTAATGAGGAAGTGTTATTTATTTAAATTGCCTTTTAAAATGAAATGAAAGTTTCTCCAACTTCAGACTAGACTATATTGAATTTTAGGAGTATAGGTAAGTCTTTAAGTGAAGACCACTTATGCTTACTCGATAGACTTAAGGATAGCCTGTTGTCGATCGTGGCATATTCCAATGTATTTTACGTCGCTTCGTGTAATATCTTGCTTTTTTAATCTCGAATAATCATTTCTAAATTTTAACGTCTATTGCCTGCCCTAAAATCCCTTGCTTTACTTTCGTATTTCTTATTTTGCCCTCACAGTTCTTTAATTTCATCTTATCTACGCTGTTTAATTGGTCAATTAAGAAAATAGAGACGATTTCATACACATGCATCATCTAGAATTACATATGACATGAACTAACCAAATCACCGTATAGAGCATAAAAAGGCAAAAATCTACAGTATTCATTAGGCATAATATATTTTCACTTGAAATGCGAGGTAGCTCAGCAGGCTAATAGATTAGTCAAAAATCAACAATTTTTCGTAGATACCCTGCAAATAAAATTGGCAATCAAGGTTGAAATAAGTGCAAACTATACTCGGAGAATGAGATATTAAAACGAAGGGTCATTTGAGCTCCTTTCCTGATTAATTTCCAGCGAATTTTTAACTTTAAGAACGTCTGGGAAGATACCAAGTCCACGGTCCAATTCTGGTAATAATCATGCATACTCCGGAAAAGGTGCGTTACCCTAGGTTTTCCTACTGATATGACAATATTGCGAAACCAACTTCTTTAAGAACTAAAATTTCGAAATCCATTGATATTAATTTCCAACTTTATCATTAACAACAGATTTTAAGCGAATTATTCTGCCAATTATTCTGCTTTGTTTAATATTTTGCTTTCTCATCTCGAATAATCATTTCTAAATTTTAACGTCTATTCCCTTCCCTAAAATCCCTTACTTTACTTTCTTTTTTCTTATTTTGCCATCACAGTTCTTTAATTTCATCTTATCTACGTTGTTTAATTCGTCAAGATGTTTCCGATCATGCGCTCCCCGGGTTTTGGGCTGGTGTGTTATATCAAACAGCCGAATCCGTCTACCATCTTGTAGCTCCCGACTTACGCCAAATGGTAGCCCAGATTCTCGACCTCCGGTTTGGTAACGTTGGTGCAGTTCTTAGAGCTGCAGCTACTGGCGAAAGATTGTCTTTCACCTATTCAACTGGACGTGGTAAAGGCGATAAGATTCTTGATGTTGCTTGTCCACATTCCATCAGGGATTTCCAGACAATCAGAACCGCTGGGGTTGGCGTAAGTGGTAGTATTGTTGAACCGACACACCACATTAAAATTAATGCAGCTTCTGTCAAAGTCACAGGGAAAGATGCTACAAATCTGTCTGGTCTTGCATGGTTGGATCGCGTCTCTTTGCTCGGAACTAGCGCATCTGCAGACCAGGTTCATCCTCATCTAGCCTACTCGGCTATGGATATCCGAAGATACGTACATGTTAAAAAGGTAGACAAAGAAAAACAAGTCTTAAATTTTATTACATCTTTCTATGGACGGTTTTCTTCCGTTTTAA